ATCGTTCAACAGTCCGAACAGTTTTATCGCGAGACTTTCATTTACTACGGAAGAGTCGCTCCACGGGTGCGATGTCGCACTCTGACCTATGAGCACACATCTCGATGAAAAATTGAGGAGAGAAATTTTCTGTAGAACTCGTCCACTGGCACATATCCAAGTTCATCAATGCGCAACAGTTTGAAGTATACTCAGATATTTGCATTTAGTAAACTATTTGGCTACTAAATACATTCCCAATGTGGTATTACTGCCAATGACCATTCTGCTATTCAGTATACGGACATACCGGGAAAGGAAGGATACATTTTTTGTTCGCCTGAAAGGTAAGGAAATTTGCAGGTGCTCTTTCTTATATTCAGTTATCCCTGCCACGGTGGAAAGGCCTATAGCTGACTGTTAACATACATATTGCTTGCACTTTTAAGCTAACATTATCGCTTTCCAGGATTTTCTGGATTATTACGAGAACCGACTAAAGGGTAATAACTAGTTACACCAGTACTACAGTAATGACCAGGGAAATGAAGCTAGGCAACAATCTTATGTTCGAAGCAACGACGAACTCCATTCGTGTGAAGCCTTCCTGTTGGCTTCACACTAGCGCCTCTAACTATTCGACTCCTGAGGAGAATAGATTTCGTGGCGCATCCCAGAACACGGGGTGAAAAACATTAACAGATTAAGCAAAATTCCAGGAAAACCAATATTTTTTAGCTGTTACGAATAAATCTCCAATAGACTATTATTAATAGAAGCTTCTTCTGAAAGTCAGTCCAAGGTCTCCCGATTAGTTTCCCTATTATAACGCTTCCTGGGAAGAAAAGAAAAAAGTAGGTATGACATTATAAGGCACACAAATTATGAGTGACTTGTAATTGCAGTTAATTTAAGATGGTTAATTGTTCGGTTTTTGAAAAAAAATAAACGAAATGAGTGGGTTCTAGGTATCGACTAAAATATAATAGTAATTGTTTCCGGCAAGAAATCGAAAGCAAACATAACAGCTGGGGCAAAGGACGACGTTTTACGTCTAGAAAAGTGCGCTTGAAATTATCGAGTCAGCCACGATTTTGTATGAAGGCATTGAAAATTGTAGGCGTGGGATGTGATGGATTCTGGTCAGTCAAAGTACATCCCCACTTTCATTTTTCTTTCAAATTCATGGAAATTGAGCAGAGCCCCAGATATAGGAAGTAACTGTCAAGTGAATTGTAGTCTTTAGCTCTGCAGTTGGGCAGTTAACAAATAAAAATTATAATTCAGGGTTTTCACCATAGAATGCAGCAGTAAATGCTTTTCACAGCAGCTTTGTAAAGATTTTTTGACTGGAAAATGGCTGAAAACTGCTTATTGAAGGCAACGGGGCTCTATTCAATTGCTTCCAAAGAATGCTAGAACTCATTAAAAATGGGTGCATGAATGAAGTGTACTACCTTCATGATTGTTCTGTGGAGATAAGTCTGAAGCAAATAGGAACAAATGCGAGGTAGTGGGCGGAGCTACCCACTTGGGGGCGGGCTTCCCTCATGCGCACTCGGGGTTTTTAGCAGATAACCAACACTTTTGCACTGAAGTACAATGCGAGGGTGCACTAGTAAAAATCCAACAATGCACTGCACATTCGGAATTCATTCCTCTTGTGCATAATAGTGGCTGGCTCGATGATTTCAAGCGCCCTTTCCCAGGCGGGAGCTGTCACCTTTCGCCCGAGTTGTTACGTGTTCCTTTTGATTACTTGTCGGAAACGATTACTTTTTAAAGATGTAACCTCTAAAAGTATCCATTTAGAGTTCGACCGAAAATCGCTTCTGTTAATCCTTCCTAAGTTAGCTATAGTCACAGCGTGTTCTAGCTATAGACACAGCGTGTTCACTATGATTGGGACTAATCAGCTTACGCGTATCTTTTCCACTTTACCTAAGAAAGTTTCAACCAAGAAAGCCTAGAAAGGCTAGCCCATATTCAGAAGTTTGTGATATACACCATGTATTTTGCATACCCTAAGGTCTGTCATGAGGTTTGGAAGAGTGTACCCGAAAAAGTTGACAGTCCAGCAACGATATCGATTAGGTGACTATTAGTGGACCTTAGATGGAAAATTCAAAAAAAAA